AGCTCTCATTAAGTTATGTCACATTTCTTACTAAAAGACCAAAAAGAGAAATTATCTCAAAGTACCCATAGCAAAGATCATTCATTTTCTTTCTCGTTCTAACAGAAACCACATTATGTCACAGTTGCGTCTCTCCACGAAATGTATACATTTTGGACCTCTGAGGCTATGACCTTCTGGCCTTGGCGCGGAGGCGGAGTGGAAGGGCAACCACGTGGGAGAGCAGCTGAGGCAACTCAGAGGTGAAGATGCGGGACGTCAAGGACGGTGCACAACGACACCCACGCACGCCACATGGATATTTTGTAATTTCTTTTTTCTACTTCAGATGTCCTCTAATTAGTTTGCTGTAGCTCGTTGCATAATGATAATCATTATGAAACAGCTTCATTGCACTACAGGTACATGAGCATTTACAAAGAAGTTTACAAGCCAAGCATTGAGTCGTAATTAATCCACTTGTGCTTTGCATTAAATGTTTTCTTTTGTTCGACTGTGCTGAATCACCCTACTGCGAAGTGACGCACTCATAAGACAACCGCAAATGCTCTCCCGTGTTCCCGAGGAAATCGAAATTCCGAGGAAAATCAGAATACTGAAGTCCCCGACTCAGGAAACTATCAAATATTATGCTGATAAGAAATAAGAGCAGAGACGAATTATTTCGATATGTCTTTAATACGTACGTTAGATAATAATTTTACTCGTGTACTGTTTGTTTGCAACCGAACTATGGTTCTGATTAACCAATGCGAGGTTGAATGAATCCGGCAAATCAGATGCCATGAAATGGCTCAATTTAAAGGTTTAACGAGTAAGAGTTATCATTAGACGTGCTAAAAGTGCTGTACGACACTCGACGAAATACGCTCGTATGAATCTCCGCTCGTTCCTAACTTGTGCCATAATTTACTTCGTATTCGTGTATTAAGATTTATCATTACGTACCCATCATTACAAAATTGTTTCGCAATGTACTACTATGCTGTGTTCAGCAAGATTCTGCACACTAGGAATGATTGCGATTTTTATTTCGTGACACTTTCGTAATCGTTTCGATAGAGCCAGTACTTAAGTACTTAAGAAATAAGAAGCCGTAAACGACGGGTAGTTTCTGACAATCTCATAGACCAGTGGTACATTATCATTACAACAAAATAATAAGTGTATGTGATGCTAAGAGGAGCTAGGATGAGCTAATGGGAAAAGAAATGCGTAGTTTATATATAAGCTTCATTAGGAATTTAAAGTGTAACTCTGAAAGTTACCTTTTAAAACCATGACCAATAGTTCAATATTCAGAACGTTTTACATTTCTTTGAATGACGTACAAAATCGCACTTTTTTATATTCGGGGGTTATCATTTAAGAGTTATGACAGCTATGTCTGACAGAGGTCTATCTACTACCACAAAAGCTTCTCAGGAGCCTTCGCTGCCCCTTCCTTTGTAGTGGCAAAGCTTAACAGTTGGTTACGAACACGCGCCTTTATAAGTTAGCGGGTCTCCCGATGCAGCAGCTTTTGCGGGGGAGGCACAGCTCAGGGTGCGAGAGCCAGCGGGCGTCGCGGGGGCAGGGGCGGGAATCGCGGTCGGCGGAGGCGGAGGAAAATGTCGAGGGGGACACGATGCCGTGCG